GGGTAGACACTCGTGTGTGTGCGGGATGCGGGAGAATAAAATGATTCACGGGACTCCCGCAAAATAGAAATATCTAGACATAAAATATCTAAAACAAATAAATTGTTATTCATCTCTTGCACAAAAGCTACATGAACTAATATAAAATATAAACGATTAACAGATGCAAGCGTATACAGAGTTTCTATTTAGGCTATAACGCGTGTTTGCAGCGTTGAGCAATGCAGTGCTGAAATTTGCGTGTTCACGAATCCTCTCATTATAACACACGAATTGTAGACATTGTGAAAGATGCATTATGCATATATTTATTGTGTTATAACAGATTTGTGAGATTGCGATGAACTGAGATGTATTTTAGAGACTATAAATGCAGCGCTCTTTGCTGGCATTCTGCCATCCAAACCATGCACGCAGCAGCCGCTTGCTTTAGTTAAAAATAACAGTGTTCTGTGAATGTTGATGCTTTAATGACACATATTTATCGGGAGCGTGTATGCTGGGATTTCATAAATTTCATGGAGAAAAAAGTAACGTAACTAGTAATGTAACTAATTACTAATTACTTTTGAAATAAAGTAATCAGAACAGTAACGTGATTACTTTTAAAAGGAGTAATCAGTAATCAATAATTTGATTACATTTTCAGAGTAACTTGCCCAACACTGGATATTATAAACATTATCATACTTCTCTGTACAACTGCTTTGAAACTGTGTATTGTGAAAAGCTCTATACAAATACATTTGATGACCTATTTTGACATTTTTCACTTATTTAAATATATATTGCATATATTAAAAAGAACATTAACATGCTGCTTCTTGCATGTTTTAGAAATGTTAGTGTTATGTAATTGTACAGGTGCTGCATAGAGCACATTTGCTCATGCAGTTTAATTCTGTTGGTAACCTGAACTCGGTCACTGCAGCAATGTTAAGCACACATTTGACTGTGTCAACAAAACTAACCACCTCACTGGCCACCTCAGCACACACAGTGCACAACGATGCATCGCTTTTGCTCTTTTACTAGTACTGAACTCATGAAGAAAACTCTTATTAATGAAAATTGTTCAACTGCTTGACAATTATTTGTCTAGGAGGGTTAATTCATCTACAAGAAAAACTACTCACTTCCGAAAGAAATGTTGATCCGGCATGTGACTGTTTTGGATCAAGTTTAATTCTCTCCAGCTTCATTTGGAGCAAGTCAGCGGAGCAGTTTATCCTCTACTGGCTAGGTTCACTTGGTTGCAGTCTTTAATATATCCTGGAATTTCAAGACATTCACCATCACAACTGAGGTGGCAAGTTATTGTTTCGGTCTATGATTATCTGAGTACATTTCTGCAATTATGTCTTCTCCTGGTAAGATGGGGGCAGTTTCAAGGTCAGCAAGAAGACTTTCACGAACAAAAAGCAAGAAAAAACATTTTGTACATCAAAAAGTGGAAGTATTCTGGGCCAGCGATCCCATCTTGACTGTGTTTATGTGGGGCATCAATCACACGGTATGTTATTGCAGACCTTTATTCTATATCTGAAAACAATTACCTACTGTTTGTTTTTGCTTTAGTGCTTGCAATTGTCATGTTGCTTAATTGCTTAAGTATAATGCACATTATTTATTATTGTTGTTATGGCATTGGGAGAATGGCTTTAATTAATATCAACACCAACATAAACAAAATAATATTTTAACCTGCATTTAACCTTTGCAGATAAACGACCTCTTTCAAGTGCCTATGCCAGTAATGCTACTTCCAGATGACTTCAAAGCCAACATAAAAATGAAAGTCAACAACCATTTATTCAACAAGTATGTTGAAGTATTCAACCATTTTACTACATTTAGCACGGTTGACTCATGTCATCACGAATTACTATTTGGCAGAGCTTTGGTTTAGTGCAGTACAAAAGTTGACTAGATAAGGTTGGCTACATTTACATGGATACATGGCAAATACTTGTTTATGTAGTTTGATTAATCTAGACATACCTGGTCTCATAGTCACAGTTTTTAGACCATTTTATGTGGCTGCACTATGAACTGCACAAAGCTTTTTAAAACTCATAATCCGCCCTGGTGTGATTTTTTTTTTTTTTTTGTAATGGTGGTGGGGGGTTGCTGGCAAACAGTCCAAACTTGTGACCTCACTGAAATGCAATCTTAGTCACAGTTCTTATTATTAATTAGCAAAAACACGAGAACAAAAAAATATTGTTTATTTAGACACATGGCATGCCACTCAATCTTCCATGGAGTATTTGTAAATATTCAATGCTATACTGTAATCTTGACAGTATATGTTATTGTGTGTGGTTTCTGCAGTAAACATAAAGGTAAAACAAATATTAAATTTAATTATATTAATAAATAGATAAATAAATATAAATAATAATAATAAATTACAGACTAAAATGATCAATGTGAAGTCATTGTTATTTATTTTTTTTAAGTACAGTGATTTTTACCGTTTGTTGTTTCAAAGCAGCTTTAAAGAATTTGTGTCCTAGGGTTTGTTTACACTTGGCAGATTTGGTTTAATTAAAACAAACTCGGGTGCAATTGTTGCACTCTGTTAGTGCTGTTTATTTGAATAAGTGTGAATGCTGGCATCTGAACCACAGTGAGCACCAAAGCAGACGTTACCCGCCTTCTCTGAGGCATTTTGACTAAAATATAGACACAACATGAACCAAAGACATCTAAATGAACCAAAACCCATTACAGTTTGGAACCGCCTTATTCTCGTTGCAGCAGATTTTATTTTGCGAGTGCAACAGAGGAATTCTTGGTGCTGTTTTTACTCTTCTACACATTTTGTAAGCTTTTCACCAGGTGGTAAAAATACCACCATATACAAACATACAATTAGTGCATTTAGCCCAGCACACAGCATTGTTTTGGATCATAAATTCTGTCCAATCAGGCTGTAGCCTTGTCCTTATGCCTTTTGTATCTTTAGGTTCAGTGTTACAAATGACACTAAATGACAGGACTTTCTTTTTTGGTCCAGACTAAAAGAACCAGGAGAAACGAATAAGTGTTAACACACCCATAATGTCTTAAATCACCCAGTGAGCAAAAAAAATTCAATAAAATAAAATAAGTTTGCCTTTTAATATTTTATTTCCTTATTGTTAAGTGGGTTTGTTAGAATTATTAGAGGTGCACTTATGCTGTTAAAATCCACAATGTTTATTTATTTGTAATTTTTCAGGGAAAACCTCCCTGGACATTTTAAGTTTAAGGAGTACTGCCCACTGGTGTTCCGGAATCTGCGAGAGCGATTTGGAGTTGAACATCAGGATTATCTGGTATGAATTTTTTGTACAGTTTAAGTCTGATTGCGTGAGAAGATGAAATATTCCTGTGTTATTTTGAGCATAGTTCTCAACTGTACTTTATCTGTACTTTAAAAAGTTACATATGAATCAAAATCAAGTTTGAACATCACAATTGTTCCACACAACATTTTGCTGTGAGTTTGCAAAAACTCTGCAGAAAGCCTCTCTTTTGCATTATTTGCATGAATCAGGTCAGGTAGGCCTACTATACAAAGGACTTCGTAGGTGTTTTTTTAGGTCACGTGTGCTCAACTATATTTGAATGGTGGCTATCATTTGCTTTTATGTTTGCATGAGGCACTTGCCAATGTATTCTGCATTGTGTATGTCCGCTTATAAAATGTGCTTTCTTTATTTTATTTTATAATTCTTTATATGGAGTTTTATGTCACAGCTCATTGCAAGCACCTAGTAGCCCAGACAGAATCTACATTTTACCAACAGAGCATATTCTATTTGCTATATATATGTTTTTTTTATTTTCTTATAATACTTGCATACTCCAGTGGATCAGCATCCTACACCACTTTGTGTTCAAGGATTCTGACTCCTTTCCCACTGCATTGCTTTCCAGCACGTCCATCAGTGGAAGATATCACCACCATTGGACTGCTCACTCAACCAATTATTATTACATTTTTATTTGACATGGACATCACAGTTACATTGGACAAACCATATGCACTTGCTTAAGTGTTTTAGCACACAGGCTAATGTTCAACACTAGTCCACGGGAGGCTTTTCAATGAGCAAAAAAATAAATAGAAAAAATAAACAATAACAATGCTGGTAATAAAAAATAATAATAATGCATCTCATAATCTTGTACTGCAGTTATATCTGATCAAATGCACATTACTATTCTTTAGCTTGGGTTAAACAAATCAATTTTGCTTGGTTGGAACAGCAGCTACGCTAATTATGTCTCTATTTGTTTCTCTGCTTCTGCCACGGGATTGACATCCCTGTCACGGGTTGTCGAGGAATGAGGACAGCAAACGAAGATGCATACTTCCAAACAGACTTACTGAGAATACTGATTTGGTACAACACATAACATAAGCAAATAACCGACAGAGGATAGAATAGAATCAGGACTATAAGTACACACATGGTAAATGAGGCAACTAAACAGGAACAGCTGGACAAGGATTAACTAATCAGAAACCATGGTAACTAATGAGGGCTAATAACAGACATGACAGGAACTGAACTAAACTGAACATAATCGTGACATTAGCTCCCCCTCTCGGAAGGCGTGACCTCACGCCACAACAGTAGATAATAGAAAAGAGGGGGGGGCTTAGGTGGAGCAAACGAAGATGCATACTTCCAAACAGACTTTACTGAGAATACTGATTTGGTACAACGCATAACATAAGCTAATAACCGACAAAGGATAGAACAGAATCAGGACTATAAGTACACACATGGTAAATGAGGGAATTAAACAGGAACATCTGGACAAGGATTAACTAATCAGAAACCATGGTAGCTAATGAGGGCTCATAACAGACGTGACAGGAACTGAACTAAACTGAACATAATCGTGACAATCCCCTGGTAACTAGGATTTACACAAGCTTCAGTCTGGATCCAGAACACCTGAGAAGAGATGATGCCAACCCCTCAGAGATCATAACAGACATGACAGGAACTGAACTAAACTGAACAGAGTCGTGACATTAGCTCCCCCTCTCGGAAGGAGTGACCTCACGCCACAACAGTAGATGATAGAAAAGAGGAAAGAGGGCGGAGGCTTAGGTGGAGGGCGTGGTGCTGATGAAGGACAGGAACCTGGAGAAATCGGAGGAGACCAACACCATGGTGGAGCCGACAGTGGGAGGAACCAGGGAGGAGCTTTGGCTGAAGGACTGGGCAACACCCAGAAGCCGATCCACGGAGGCGGAACCAGGGTACGTGGAGGAACCGGTGGAGCAGAGAGGCCGACAGACCAGGGTGACATCGAAGGCCTGGAAGCCCAAGGTGGAGCGGCTGGCTCGCGTGACTGAGGCGGGGCTGGGGATTCGGCGCAAATACCACTAAATATTGTAGAAACTTAATTTGCTGTAAAGTTGCTTTGCAACGATTTGTATCGTGAAAAGCGCTATACAAATAAACTTGAATTGAATTAATAACAGTGTTAACAATAAAATAATAACAATACTAATAATAAATAAAAAAGTGGAAAAGTCTAATGAATATACCACACACACAAAAAAAGAAACAATACATTCGGAATTATTTACATGCATAAGCTGTAGAGCAAAAGCAACATAATCAGGCAATATTACAATAGTAATTGGGTTTAAAAACTATTCATGTGAGCACTGTTGTTTTGTAACTTGTAATGTAAATATAACTAACCCAAATATTTTTCCAGAGACCTTGGCATTAGTGAATATTGTCAGTATATGATTTTCATTTGGGTTCTGTCTCTTCACCTGACAGATATAATTACAGGAAAGGATGAGGTCTAGATTTTTCCCTGCTTTGTGGTGTGTTTCTTTAAGATCAAACATCTTGCAAGGCCAGAAAAGCTAGAAAGTTTGTCCAGGTGAATGTTGAAACAACCAAGGACTACCAGTAGGGTGCCATCCTCAGGAAAAGAGGACAGCAGAATGCCTAGATGCTCAAGGAAGTTGCCAAGCTTACCTAGAGGATGATAAATAAGGGATAGTGTACCCTGATGGGGTGAGGCAATGATTTTGAATGACTGTAATGTGCTGTTTCCAAATTTCTATATGTGTATTTCAGGTTTCTCTTACACGTAGTCCTCCAGGAAAGGATGGCAAGAGTCAGGAAGCGGGATTGGTGTTGACATCATATGACCGTACACTAATTGTCAAGCAAATCTCTAGTGAGGAGGTGGAGGACATGCACAACATTCTTTCAGAATACCACCAGGTATTGACTAATGTTTCTTAAGTCAAGTTGTTTAATAACACGTAAATTTTATTTTTGTTAAATGCAGTCTCTTGTTTGATGAAAATGAAACTGGATCTGATTCTGATTCACTCTGATTTTTTAACTAATCAATCAGACTGGATGCCTTTTATGGTGCTTGTTTGTCATTTTGGAGCTTGATAGCCCTAGTTAAAAAAAAAGTACAAGCAACATTTTAATTTGATGATGAACTTTTCCTTTAATCCTTATTTAAGCTTGATGCATGAACCACAACAGAGTGGGCCTCATTCATGAAACACGAGCAGAATGATATTTATGATTTTATGTAAATTATTTGTATTCAAATAATTCATGCAAATTCATGGCATTGCATTCTAATAACACTGTATGTAATATAATATTTCACAAGTTTGTTTTCCCATATAGCTAGGTAGGCCTCAATATATTAATGTTAAACTTATTTGGCTTGCGGTGCACAGTGGCGTGGTTCGAGGAAGTGGCTTCAACTCAAGCTCTAATAAACCCCCAGGAGTCTGAGGTTTAAGATGCATTTGTAAATCTTTTGGGAAGGTCCATTTATGCTCAAATTACTTTGAATTTACTCATATATTTATGTATGTTTCATGAACGAGATCCAATGTGTGCACCTCATGACACTTTAGTAATTCACAGGGTCTCCATTTCACTACAAAACCATACTGAAAAAAATCTGTATTTTGCATTTGACAGATTCTCATGCATTTGGCAGACTTTGCTTGTCATTTGATGAATCAGTTGTTTTATAATAAACAATAAATCATTACATTTATATAGCACTTTACTCAACACTCGAAACGCTTTACACTGTGAGGGGTGGAATCTCCTCAACCACAACCAATGCGCAGTGTCCACTTGGATGATGCAACAGCAGCCATAGTCAAGTCAAGTCACCTTTATTTATATAGCGCTTTTAACAATACAGATTGTGTCAAAGCAACTGAACAGCA